AGATGAATGATATTCAATCCTGTGGTTAAATTAAAACGTAGAGGATATGATACTGTAGAAAAGCTCTGCACCTAGAGTTTTACTTTTTTAAAGATGAATTCTGCTGGGAGATGTTGCTAATGTATTTTCTTTCAAGATGTGAACAAACTTTTTTAGAACGTTAATGGAAATTCATGTACTGGTTTTTAACACAATTTTTTTAAATAAAAAGTTTACAGTCATGGCAAAAGGCTTTGCTGACTATTTACCTATTTGCTTAAAATATAGATGAATAAACTTGTTTTTACTAAGACACTTCCTAATGTTTGATCCTACTTAAGCAGGTTTTTGTGATGCTGAATTATCTACAGAATTATAAAATAGGTTTCCTAAAGAGTGATAATAGAAGTACTCTATGAAGTGTCATTTAGATAGAAATTGTAAATAGTGTCCTAGACACTCTGTCAGTATTGGGGTAGTCTTGCATTTTCATAATCAAATTTACATATTGCTTTGAAGTATGTTGCACGTTCACAGTTTTTATTTTGTGAAAGCAGTTGATTTCACAATGATTCTCTGCTTTGAACTTCTTTTGAAATTAATGCCTTACCTGTTGACTCCGGAAACTTGTGGAAAAAATCTCAGCCATCTTTCAATACTACTCATTCTTTTTATGAGAATTTTTTAATCATTTTTAGATCGGTTGGAAAAGGAGAAAATAAAAATGTAGGTATCTCGTCGAGAAGTGATTGTCTTTCATCCTGCAGATGTGACTGTACATGTAGTTCAAAACCAGTAATCATTCTGTAACCTTACTGAGGTGCTAAGTTTGATCTCTGGTTTGAGCCCTACTTTCCTATGCAACCAAGCAATCAAATAAAAAGCTTAAGCTAACTTAGTTCACCTTGTAGTCAAAGTCAGGTGTCAAACATCAGCCTTTATGTAATGTTTCATCATATGTAAGTAGTTCCTGTGTCAGTTTTTGGAAGCATGTATTGAGTGGTTATGGATTATGTGTTTGTGGTGAGTTTTTTCCTGTTTAAACTTGAAACATCTCAAGGGTACCTAAAAGATCGCGAAGCTTTGTTTCTCCAAATTCAGTCAGGTGAGAACTAGTGAAATTTTCACTGTTTGAAAAGTTGTTTTTTTTTTCCTGAAGCACTGTACTTCATAAGTGGGGCCTACCTACTGGGAAATGTCCTTTACCAAGGGAAGAGTTTTCCATGTGCAGCTGGTGTCATGTCAGATAGAAGCTTGTCATCAGTCTTAGACAAGTACACGAGTTGGTTCAGAAGCATTAAACTATCAACAGTTCCTCTCTATAATGGGCTCTTTTTTTTTACTGAATCATGTTGAATAGGACATTGTACATGGAACTTTTCAATGGTTAGGATTAAGGTAAGTTTCATTTCATAAAAAAGTCACTCCTGATGTAAAATGTTTTTTATTAATTTTTCTCCTCAGGAATAAAGTCAGTGTTCTGCATTGCAGCTTGAAGCCAACTCTTGTGACCCAACCATGGAATTTCTGAAGAGGATTGTTTGTCCTGAGCTCTTTCATACTTAGTTGAGCACCGTGTTTAAAGAGCCAGGGAAAAGTCTGCTCCTGAGGCAAATGATGCCAGATCATACACTGAAATTGTCTTTGGAAAGGACTGTTGCTGTGTGACTTGAGTCTGGACTAATTACGGTTTGATTGTTCAGTTGCTGATTACTGCTGTATTTCAGCTATGCTGAGAGACTACAAAGTCAGGTGCAGTGAAATGTTATTTAAAATAAACTCTTTATTCACAACAACAAAGCGAACCTACTGGGACAGTTTTTGCAAATGCAAGTTTCACTGTTTCAAGTGCTCTAATTGCAGTTGTACTAAATATGAGAGAAATTTATATTTAGAAATTTTATAATTGTTTTGTCATCTTCTTCCTCTGACTTGCAGTGGAGTGATGTGAGCTTGATTGGGCCTGGAATGAAACTCACCACAATATGAGCATTCTTACTTTTGTGTCAATTGTCTGCCTCTCTTGGTTGAGATGCAGAGAACCCATTTGATTGGTTCTGTCTTATATTTATTCATGGTCTCATGAAGTAGCCGGTGTCAGCACCTTCCTGTCATCTCACCATCTTCTGTAGGGAGCACGCTTTGCAGGGGAGTTGGACTCGATGATCTCTAGAGATCCCTTCCAACCCCTACAATTCTGTGATTCTGTGATCTTCTGTTCTAGAAAGCTGATACCATTTTCACACAAAAGGAGGAGGAGCAATATGGTGATGTTCCTACAAGTAGCAAGATGTTACCGGTAATCTCCTCGGTGTCCTAAGGGAGATGAATGAGAAGCCCAGAGCAAAAGGCTATTGTCTGTTCTGGGTGGTAGTGGGGATAGAATTCAGAAACAGGAAAGGAATGCGAGGGAAGATGGGCCTTAAAAGATCAGAAAGAAGCAAACAGAAACTTAGAACTATGTTATGTGCAAATCTCATGACCTGCAAATGTCATATCTACTCTATGATGGGGTAAGTAGAGCAAGTGGAAACCTTAGACTGTAAAAGACTGGTCACATTTTGCAAACTTAGTGGTTGGTGCAGGGAAATGTTGGAGAATGGAATGCTGGCAGGTAAGCCACATATCATTTTGTCTGACCTAAGCCTTTGTGATGATCCAGGAATAGACGTTAAAGGCTCTAACTGTATCAGCACACGCTGCAGAAGTGCTGCACCACCCACCCACCAGAACCACGTTTACTTACTGCTGTGTCCACGCCAGTAAGCGGTGCTAAAGTAGCTTTGGACTTGAGCTGTTTTGCTTTGTGCTACTGTACCAGGCTGGTCAGCATTAGTGAACTTGCAGCTTGGAGGCTGCTTGAGTGCTCACGTGTTTTACAGGTGGAAACATGAGGGCTAGTGGCTGTGTGTCTGCATTCCCAGCATAGCCCAAGGAGAAATGACTTAAAATTGCCCTACCTTTTAACTTCAAATGTTCGAAACTTAGAGAGAGAAAGTGCAACTGAAGTTAACACAAATAGTAATACAGTAATGTTCCTGTACATCAAAGAAACACACCATCTGCTTCTGTCACCTTCATGAGTTGTATTTACAGGCACCTCAGGGACTTCTCACTAAACAGCAGGGAGCAATTATTTCTGTTAGATTTGAATGGTTTGCCCTTGTGTCTCATGGTGTGAGCAGCTATGTAGGCTGTAGTATTCAAATGATCTGCAATAATAAAGTTATTTACCATAAAAACAGTTACTTCAAAATAATAATATGAGGGTAGTTCTGCATGTTAGATTTTCCTTTCTGAAATAATTAAGAGCACGTATTTCTTTTACCTGCTGTCCTGTTAGTAGGCATTTGTCATGATCATCTCCAGTACCTGAAGGGGGCCTACAGAAAAGCTGGGGAAAGACTTTTTATAAAGGCATATAGGGATAGGACAAGAGGAATTGGTTTTAAACTGGAAGGGGGTAGACTGCGACTACTAACCCTAACCCTGTATTAGGAAGAAATTCTTTACTATGAGGGTGATGAGACACTGCAACAGGTTGCCCAGCGATGTTGTGAATGCTCCCACCTTGAAGATGTTCGAGGCCAGGCTGGATGGAGCTGTGAGCAACCTGGTCTAGCAGGAGATGTCCCTGCCTAAAGCAGGGCGTTGGAACTAGATGATCTTAAAGTCCTTTCTAGCCCAAACCATTGTATGATTCTATGAGCAGGTTTCATCTTACAGCCAAGAGGTCAAATCACTGGGGAAGTGCAGCAGATAACTTCATATAGATATAGTGACTATTGGAGAATAGTGAGATAAACGTGAATCACAATTTTGCAAGCTGTGCTTATAGTTTCCACTGTAACTTCAAACATCCATTCAGCAAGGGTAGGTTGAAGTCTTTGTGAAGCTGGAATAGAATTCTCTGGGGAGCAATCAGTGCTGAATAACCCATCTGGGACCAATGTGGTTACTGGCATAAATGAAGGCTGGTATGAAATGAAGCTGGAACCAGATCTTCCAAGATGCTTGAGGTAATGGATGCCCATAGAAAACAACCATAGAATGAATGTGGCTATCTGTCAAAGTCATAGACTACATATGAAAAAATATGCCTTATTCTCAAATAACTGTTTTGTGTCCTTTGAGAAGGCTGCTCTCTGCTGCTGCAGTCTTCCAATATGTCTTAGTCTAAAATGCTTTGCTAAAATTACTGTGGAATCATAGAATTGTTTGAGTTGGAAGAAACCCTGAAAGGCCATCTGGTCCAACTGCACTGCAGTGAACAGGGGCACCTACAGCTCCATCAGGTGCTCAGAGCCCCATCCAGCCTGACCTTGGATATCTGAAGGGATGGGGCATCCACCACCTATCAGGGCAACCTTGCTAGTGCCTCACCACTCTTATTGTAGAAACTCACTATGTCCAGTCTAAATCTTCCCTCTTTTAGTTTGAAACCATTTCTGCTTGCCTCCATTATACTTTGTTTGATTCCTGTATTGAAAGGGAAGTTTTAGAAATGAAAGAAAACATATTTGCGGAAAAAAAATGTTAAAAGCCTTTGGAGCTGAAGCGTTCCTGCTGGAGTTTTTTAGTTATCTGGCACAAGGGGGTTCTACCTACTGCGATGTAAAGTATCAAGAAATGTCTGAAGATAAATTCCATACAGCATGGGCACTTTTCATACTAAAAAGTGAGCAGCAGAAGAGCAGTACCCAATTCATACACACTAGATTTCTTCTCTTACAGTTTTGTCTTTTTTTTATTATTAAATCTGTGTTGATAAATATTTCTGTGATTCACTGAAATAATTTCTAGTTTGGATACTGCATGGTTTAAAATCAGCTGAGCCATGTATTTCCCCAGCCAAAAGCCTGCCATAGAAGAGCACGGAATTACATCAGGGGCAACGGTGATCCACAAGTCTTTGTTTTTGTAAACACATCCTCCTCACCAGGGTAACTAACTCCCAGAGGACTCTGATACAGGTGGGGATTTCTCCTCTCCCTGTGCTTCCCTCTTTGGTGCATCGCATGGGTGCTGTGCTGTGTTGAGGTATGTTGCTGTCCTGTCTGTGAGGGGATCAGAACTTCCCTGGAATGAGATGGATCCCACAGAAGAGACACCCAAGAAAAACAACATAGAACATCTAATTGGTAAGCATCATCTTTTTGTGCGTGGTTATGTTTTTCTCAATGGAAACCAAACAAGAAGAATACGTTTGTAACCAAGCATTCATTGTAAATCTTATGTTGTACCAATAACAAAAACCAATCTCATTGTAAACCCTTATGGGCTGGAGATGAAAATCCATTATCTGCCACTGGAAGTGATGAGGCAAAATACCTCCTACTGCACTGCCACCATGCTTCAGCACTTACCTTCCAGGAAAATGACCCCAGAGACTAAAACATCCAGGGATGAGGTGAAATGGGAAAAATGTGAATAAATGAGGAATAGCAGGGATTTTCAGCCCCGAAAAGGAACTTAATGTGGTTGGGCTTGTGTGAGGAGCACCTAGTGCTCTTGTCAAGCGAAGGAACTGTTACCAAACCAAAGTTGTTTGGGACAATATGTTCTGTTTCCATCGTTGTGGGCATAAGAATGGGTGGTGCAGTGGACAAATGTGGGGACAGCAGGGTTGGTTTGGGTGCTTGTGGAAAGAAAGAGGTAATGGTTACAGAAGTCAGAGGCACCTTTTAGTTTGCTATGGGCTGCAGATGCAAGGGAGGTTTCTGCTGGTCATGGCTATAGTAATCAATATACAGGTGCAGCAAAACTAAGTCACTGGCATGTTGGGTTACTGGATTTATTCTTCACTATTGTGTTTTTGTAGAAACTCCCATTAGTTATGTGGTTAAATGGTTTGAAATTTTGGAATTATCAGAGTACATTTGTGATGGTCTTTGGAGACTGGATTGCTATTGTATAGTAAACAGGTGTATCTTTATATCCTGCTTTTCTCATTGGACTTGACACTTTTAGCTGGCATCAGGATCCCCAGGACAGGTCTCATGGAGGAGTCAGTCATAATTTGTCAAGTTTTGGATGAGTGGGTGCTTCTTAGCCATAGTTATGATGAGTGATATAATGACCTCTCTCTTCTCAGCTGTTTGAATACTGACCCGCAAAGCCATTCGTTCCCAGATAGTCCCACCTCTCTGGATTGTGTCAGTCCTATCAGGTGTGTGTCATTCCTATCCATCCTCACAGTGGTCTCATGTAGGTGATGGCGGATGATGCTACCATCCAAAATCAGCTTTTGAGGGGGGTTCATGGCAAAGGTTGGCACTGGAGAAAAAGATTTCCAGGCACTTTTCTCCATGTTAATCATTTAAGTGAAATAGGGACTGGGCAGAATGTTGTCTGCTGGTGAACAGAACACCCCCTTGTAACAAATTTCTCCAAGCTTTTGATTAAGAATTATGAATGATGCCCAATCCACAGCTTTCATAGATCAGTTTCTACTAATCAGAAGACAGACAACTGCTGGCACTTCATGTACCTGCTATAGCCTGACACACTCTTGGTGTAATGTGAAGAGCACTGTGGCTGTGAAAAGGTTAAAGCTTTTCATGTGAAATCTCAACAGCCCTGTTTTCAAGCACATGACCTTAGGGTCCGCATGGTAATTTACTCAGAGGAACTCCTCATTCCTACCAGTGACTATGGAATGGCTGATAATACCTCATTAAGCAACCAGGGAATATACATTATTATCAGTTGGGAAGGGTCAGGAGGGATGCCAGGATCCCAGGGCAGCAGGTCTATGTCCTGAAGCTTGGTCCTATTGGACACAAACTTACTTCAGTGTGAGCAGTTAAATCTCCAGAGAGGATCTCAGAAGGGAAAACTGCAAGGAGCAAAGTTGTAACACCCAAGTGTGCAGTTAAGGTGGGTTCCTCATTGCAGCCTGCAAGGAGCTCTGCAAGGAATTTCCTGTAAGAGGAAAGCACTGTGGGAGGGCTTTGTATCTCCTGCATCATCAGGATCATGGGTGTTTTCCAACAAACCTGTCCTCCCAGTCTGCCGGTCTGTTGCCTGGTATGCACAAGGTAACCTGATCAGGTCACTGATCAGGTAACCCCACACTGTCTCATTGTGGTGGCAAGTTTATTTCACAAAGTATATATAAGTTTTTCTTCCTATTTATCAGTTTCTGTCTGTACGTTAAGTTTATTTAATGTGAGAAATTTCTAGTGTTGCCTTACACCACTGAGGTAACATCAAAAAAAATACACTGCATATTTGCATCAGCATGGGAGTGGATTTGTTTTTAAGAACAGCGCAAGTCAGAAAGGAAACAGCCTCATGTGGACCTCAAAGCTGGCAACCCTTCAGACAAGCCCTGCATCTTTTGCTTTCTTTGCAGCTCTCCTGGTCCAAGACATTTCTGCATTCAGCAGGATTGCAGTGCACTGCTCTCATGGCAGGTTTCATGGCATCCGTTTCTCACCTTGTGCCTCTGCTGTGAGTGTCCCTGCAGCTCCAGTTTCTGATCTCACCAGAAAGCAGCAACTCCTTGGTCCACTTTCCCCTACAAAGAGCCTCCCAGATTTTTAGTACATGAGCAGCAACTTACCACCACCTTTCCTTCAGGCACTAAAATAATTAAATTTTGTGATGAGAAGAGCTAAGCACAGTTAGAAAGCTACCCACAGTTCCTGGGTGTGCACTTAGACAACCACTAATTCTGAAGCTTGTCTTCCAGTGGATGGACTGGTCCATTAATATTCCTCAAAACCTCTATCTAAAGATGGAGGAGTTCCCCTCATTTTTCTTATCTGCTTTTGTACAAACTAGATCTCCTATCCCAGGTGTAACACACTTTCTCAGTGATTCATATCCATACATACATTCTACCTGATCTTTTATATCTCCAAGTCCCCAGTTTTGGCAATGCCTGTCACTGCTCCTGTTTCTCCCCTGCAAAAATCTTTTAACCTTTCATGCAGAAGAAGTATATATATAGCTGGATTGTTGGTTATGTATTTGTGCTGAGAGGGAGGAGAGAGGGACTGACTCTTTGTGGACTTTGCATTCCATAGTGATTGCAGTGGGCTAGGTCTGCATTTTTCTGACAACTCGTTTCAGGATTTGCATTCATTTTGCTCCTCTTCCTTACTGTTTACAGCTGACAGGCGGGAAGGAATTGGTGTCTGTGGATGGATCCTGGTTTCCATATCTTTCCTGTTGGTGCTCATAACCTTTCCTATTTCCATCTGGGCGTGTATCAAGGTAAGCTAGTGGGATCTGGGGCACCCTGGGGCACCCCCATTCACTTTCTGGAAATAAGAAGGCTTTGCAGTGCAGATGTGTTCCGAGTCCAAGAGATTCATTATTATATAGTCAGTATTTCCACTGACTTTCTATATCAACAAAACCTTCTCATTTGACTTCTTATCATATCAACTTCCATAGTCAATTAAGCTTTCCTGCTTTACAACAACCCTGGGAGAATAAATTAGAAACTTTTTTGAAGAGCTCACACCTGGTGCTGCCAACAACAGCAAATAACAGATACTGATGGGAAAAGGAGTAAGCCCCCACACAGAGGGACTATACAACCTAAGCCTACAGTCCCTTCAAGACATAGGCATGATACGACTAATTTAAAGAAGTTTTTAGGGCTGAATCACCAGAGTGATTGCCCTTAGCACCATACCATGGATCGCCCTACTATCTGAAGTAGTTATGTCAACATTCTGATGGTATACTCTGCCTACAGCTCCTCTGCTTGTAGCACTGGTGTTGAAAGAGCTGTGGTCAGCCTCATTAAATCAGCAGCATTTCTTGCATATTTGATCTGTTTTATGACTTATTCACAGGGCCAAAGTCTGAATTTTTCCAGCAATGATGTGAGAAAACATAAAATGCTTGGTAACTTGCAGCATTGTTGACCCTGCGTTGACTGTGTTTTTCACATTTAATATGGATGTTATAGATAAAAAAAAAAAAAAAAAAAAAAAGTCATGCCAGAGAGCATGAATAGAATTACTTGTAAAATTCTAATTTTGAAATGTTTTCCTAGGTTGTCAGAGAATACGAACGTGCTGTTGTATTTCGTCTGGGACGTATACTGTCTAAGAAAGCCAAAGGACCAGGTGAATGCATGCAGTTTTACTCTATTAGGATGCACTGTAATCCCAAGGAGAATTACAGAGGCCCATGAAATCCTTCTTTAAAGCATACGTGGAATGAGGAGTTTCTCTGCTGCAGGTCTTTTGCTTTTCTAAATAGAAGGTAACGTCGTCCCACAAAGAACAGCACAGAAGGTCAAAAGGCTTCTAGTTGAAGGCCTTCTGGTTGAAGAGCTGTTGTGGCTTTGCTGTTCAGTAGATTGGATGACTGAAGGTTGAGCTTACGCTGCAGGCACTAGTGAGAGTTCTGGGAGGTTAAAATGCAGACTTCAGCTCAGATTTGTTTGAGTGACTGTGATGATTCTCCTTGTACTTCACGTCCAAAACTACAAGTTCTTGCCAGGACTTTAATTCGCCTTCAATTCTGTAGAACTATAAGTGCAGGGGCCTTTCCAGACTTTATCTACCCAGCGTTTGTTACATTTGAGTGGGATCAAGTTGCCAATTGCAAATAAAGTAACCCAGCAATGCTAGCAATTTGCATTGGTGCAGCAACCACGTCTGTGCAATAAAACTGGTCAGGTTGGAAGTCGAAATAATAAGAAAAAAAACTTTTCAGAGGGTGTCTTTCATCTTGCCAGCCATTGGGCAGGCACAGATTTTCTCTGCATGGCTCTGGGCAGCCAAATATGGTGCAAAGATTGGAAGAATTGTGTCAAGGCTCCTGCTCTCATGAAGGGAGAGTGGGGAATGCTACACAGGACTGCTCATATCTAAGGACAGCGTTCCTCCTAGCCTGAAGGCCTAAAGGTGGTGGAAGACTCCGGACGAAGGTGCCTTACCTGAATGGGCACACATACTGCAAAAGGGTTATGGCTGAAAGAATGGAGTTAGCAAAAGAATGGATGGAATTTTTGCCACAAGTCTCATGGCAGATTTGAAACCAGAATGATGTCTATCCATTCCCAGACCACAGCTCTAACCCATTAAGGTCTAATAAGTTCACATCATTTGCAGATATCTGCATTTCCCTCTATTATTTGAAAATGCAAAGCTTCACTGCTGTTACCTTCTATAGCAGAAGGACAGCTGTAGTAATAAAATGCTGCACAGCTCCTTGACTCCTTCCCCACCTTGTTTCCATCTGCTTGCTTTGTACAGGCACCAGGTTCAAGTCAGCTCTCAGAAGCAAGTGTTTCACCTAATTATTTCTTTATTTCAGGTTTGATTCTCATACTTCCATGTACAGATACGTTTATCAAGGTTGACCTTAGAACTGTTACGTGTAACATTCCTCCACAAGAGGTAACTATTTTCCAGCAGCCATCTAGATCAGAAACAAAACAGCTGATTCATGGCAAGATCAAAAATGTTGTGGGTGCTTTGTAGTCTTGCAGCTGTGAGCTACCCTATAGAGTTTAGCTTATTTGTTTTGTCTCTGGACTTCCAGAGGCATCATTACAGGCCAAGCAAACTCCCCTTGCTGAAGTGCTAGTTAAAGAATAAAGAAGATGATGTTGGGGCTCTGAATAGGAGACAGCTGAGATGCGAGGTTGCAGGGGGTGCATGTGGTGGCTCCCCAGAAACAGAAAGCAGGAAGGACGGCGGTTACATACTTGTACTGCATGAGATTTAGCAAGTTTTGGCAAGGCTTCTGCAAATGTTGGCAGAGCTTCCATGGAGCACTTAACTGCAGGCAAGAGACACTGAAAAGGGGAGCAGTCATGGGAGTCGTTAGTGCTCTGCTGTAACCAGCTGCCTGCTGAGGTGCAGAATCATAGAACCATAGAATGGCCAAGGTTGGAAGGGACCTCAAGGATCATTGAGCTTCAAGCCCGTGCTGCAGGCAGGGACACCAACCTCCACTTTTAATACCAGACCAGGCTGCCCAGGGCCCCATCCAACCTGGCCTTGAACACCTCCAGGGATGGGGCATCCACAACCTCTCTCATCAGCCTATTCCAGTACCTTACCACTCACCTGGTAAAGTACATCCCCTGATATCCAATCTAAATCTTCCCTCTTTTAACTTAAAACCATTTTCCCTTGCCCTGCTGTTACCTACCCTTTCAAAGAGTTGACTCCCCTTTGTTTATAGGCTCCCTTTAGGAACTGAAAAGCTGCAATGAGGTCATCCCACAGCCTTCTCTTCTCCAAGCTGAAGTGCAGGCACTTACATCTTCTTGCACTGGCAGAATATGACACAGTTCCTTTAGGAATACTGAAAAATCTTTCAGAATTTCTTCTCACTATTTTTGCACTTTGCTTTTCTCTTTTGCTTTAATTTTTGGTGATTCTCATAATTACATTGTGTAAAGAAAGTAGCACTGCTTTAACAAACGCCATGCAATGTGTGAAATCAGTTCTGGCCCTTTCTACAGGGAAGGAACAGGATAACTATAATTTATCATTGCAGATGAAATTCATGCAGGTGATGAGATTTACTTACTATTGAAACAGTTGTTTAAAAACTATGTAGAACATTTTGCCCTAATTTAAATTGTTGGTGATGCAGGATGACTTCTTTGAAGTCATCTCTTTGGGGGGAATGCCAAAGAAACCAGAAGGAATTCTTAGTTTCCATGAATTTTCAGGATCTATTCTTCACTAAAGGAAAAAGAAAGATTATGACTCCCCTTCATTGTCAATCTGTGCCTTATTGAATACTTCTCTAATTCTGTATGTTTCTCCAACACAGATTCTGACAAAAGATGCTGTTACTATTCAGGTGGACGGGGTGGTGTACTACAGGATCCACAGTGCAGTCTGTGCCGTTGCCAATGTCAATAATGTACATTCAGCCACCTTCCTATTGGCACAGACAACCCTGAGAAATGTGCTGGGTACACAGACCTTGGCTCAGCTCCTGGCTGGTCGAGAAGAGATTGCACACAGTATCCAGGTACATCTTGGGTTTACTGTCAAGCATAGAAGTTAGTTCTGGGCAACAGTGAATCAGAAATAATCTCATTCATTTTCTTTAACAGTAGAAAAAAATCCTATATGGTCCTTTCAGTTTTACTTCTCATTGCTCGAAGTAAGAAAGAATTACTGGAAAGGTATTTCCCAAGATTGTTCTAGAAGAGTTATTTCCTCTCAAATAGCAATGAAGATGCTGAAATTGTCTGATGAGTTGAATAAATCAGCACATGCAGTCTTTGCCCAAAGTTAGCTGCAAGCAATAGGAAACAAGACTGCTTTTTGTGGGAAACTCCACCCTAAGCAGACCCTCAATGGAGTTGTTGCACCTTCTGTCATGGTGGCCAACACAGATCCTGAGTGCTGCAGGACTGTAATGTATCATTTGCCAATAATGTGCTTGTACATTGAAAACATAATGCTATTCTTAAAGACTCTTAAAGTATTAGTTTGTAAATAAGGAAAGTGCCTACCTAAAAAGAGGGTAGCTTTGGGAAGGGCAGCAGTGATCCCCTACAAAAGTCTTACACAGGGAAAAACTTCAAGTATTGACCAGTATCTCACATCAGAGATCAGCAAGAGTTTCATAAGGCTGGGGTACCTGCTGTGTTCACACCACAGTGTGTGCCAGCACCTTAGTACATTCCATCTTCCTGTAGTCTGCCTTTCCTTCTGTTGACGTGGCACAGTAAATCCCACAGAGTTCTTCCTGCTCCCCCTGTGCTGTTTTGCTGGATATTGTGTTTGTCTCCAAGGCCATCCTTGACAATGCCACAGAGCAGTGGGGAATCAAACTGGGCTCGTGTGGAGATCAAAGATGTCAGGATTCCTGTGGCCATGCAGAGGGTGATGGCAGCCGAAGCAGAGACTACACGACAAGCAAGAGCTAAGGTGAGACCCATAGCTATACTTACCTCCAATCTGCAATGTCCTGTATCTTTCTTTGGGCTCCCAAGTTCTTCTGTTTCCTCCTCATTGTAAAGGTGATGGTGTTGCAATGCCATTTCTATTTCTTTTACATCACAGGTTGTGGCAGCACAGGGAGAGATGAATGCTTCTAAAGCCCTCAAGCAGGCCTCCATGGTGCTGGCCGAGTCTCCAGCAGGTCTTCAGCTGCGCTACCTGCAAACGTTGACAACTGTGGCAACAGAGAATAATTCCACTATTGTCTTCCCTCTGCCAATTAATTTGCTTGATGGTTTTGGGTGGAAAAATAGAGGGGGATAGAGATTGATCTACACTAGCTGCTTGGATTGGGGTTTTAATTTAAAAGGTTTTAGATTTAAAGGGTTTCCCAGGAAGCAAAGGGTTCCAGATTATCAAAGTAGAGTAAAATAAAAATAAAAAATAGTTTTTAATAACCACACATAGCTCTCCCAAGGGGAGACTGCATTTGAGCAAAGAAAGTTGCAAGATTCAGGCACTGAGCAGTTTTATCTTAGACTCGTCTTGAGATAAAAAGGAGGAAATTATGTAAAATACATGTTAGACCTAATAAGAAAATTTATTGATGCTTTCACTGCATACTGCATATGCTTGAGTGTAGCAATTATTTGGTGATTTGTCTGCTAAGCAAGAACCTGTGAGCTCCTGATGAGCTTACAAATCTACTCCATGCAGCAGAAGGGTCAGATGCTGGTGCATAATTCAAGTCCCAGAGAGCACAAGAAAGGATTTGGCCATGACCATGCTTAGTATTACTTCTTAACTATCAACAGAATTATTGGATAATTGATATGTCAGTGGAAGCCCTTATTCTTTATCACAGAATCGCAGAATGGCTTAGGATTGGAAGAGACCTCAAAGATCATCTAGTTCCAATCCCCCTGCCATGTGCAGGATTGCCAACCACTAGATCAAGTGCTAGACCAGGTTGCCAGGGTCTCATCTAGCCCAGCACTGAATATCTCCAACCTTAGATAAATGAAAATTAGCAGTAGCTTTACTGACCTCATCTGAATTTTGCCGTGTCACTGATATTTCTATAAGCTCTATAATAAAGGGATGAGAATATATGTCCATGTATTACAGTCACATTTCTTATATTTGATAGCTGATGCAAGCTTCTGCAAAACAAATTGTTCTATGCTAATTTAAGTGTCTCATTTTCATTCCCAAGAGGTTTATTATCCCACCTTGCAGATGTCATGAAGTGGTGGTACAGCTTTTTGTAGAAAGAGCCTTCCCCACCTTCCATCCATGCAATCCCCTGCAGCTGACTGGGGGGCACTCCAGAGTTTAGCCAGCATTAATGCTGAGTTTATGGCCTTCAAAAACAGCTGAGCTATTCACATGGCTGGGACACAACAGGCTAGCTGTATATGAATCTGAAGGCCCTTGCAGTGTAGATGCTCTGGTGGATGCTTCTGCTGTGTAGAATCTGAAAACACACAAGGCTCATTGCTGCCCTTTCTATATAATAATGTCATTTAGCTCATGACACTACTATGTCATGAGATCAGCACGGGCCTACTAACTGTGTTGTTGATACAGGCCCATCTTGTTTTGGCTGCAGAATAACTCAAGCAGTCCAGGTAGCAAATTTTGTCCTCAATAACTTCTGGCACACAGGCAGTGGTACGAGCATCTGAGGATGGTGACCTGCCCAGCAAATATACCTTTTCATTGCACCTCTTTGTTTCAGAGATGACTGCCAAATGGCATTTTGTTGGCAAATTAAAGGTGTAAAACCTACATTCAAAAGTCATCCCTATTAACATTTGCTGCAGATCCTCCTATTTTAAGAAAAGGGATGTTTTGAATTTGGAGGCTATTTTTCACTGTCAACTTAGTTTGACAGTTGTAGAAGCATTTACAATTGCAACAGGAGAAACCTCCTGCCTTTGCCTGACAAATGTTGCAACTCCACTGCAGAGCTGTTTGCCTAGCTGCAGGAGCAGCAGTGTTTGAGAGAAATGCAGCCATGGACTGCAACTCTTCTTTAGAGTAGTGCAAATTAATTAAACTATGGGAAGGAAAAGCTCGAAAGATATATAACTACAGAGTGTAGTTGGAAAACAGCTCTATGCCCTCAGTGAGCTACCTGCACTAATTGACAGCCCATGCAGGATTCTGTGGTCAGGTATATTCAGACCAGTTGTTCATCCCTGATGCTGAGCCAGTTCCAGTTTAAAAACTGTATGGGAATCCTACTGTGAGTACAAGTTGGGTTCATTTGTTTCCCCATATGAGCTCTCACAGAAATAATGTGCTGAAGCATGAGTGCTAATATCTTTTATTTCAGCAGCAAGCTGTACTTGGTAAGCCCATAAATATCAAGCCTTCTTTCTGACCCATGCAAATTTCTTGGTCTCTTTAATGTTCATTGACAACGACTGAGGGAATCAATCAGCTCTGCAAGAAAAACGTTCTATTAAAAAAATCATTTTTCATTTGATCTCCTCCAGTATAATTATACCACTGAGTAATGGGTCAGGTAGCAGAAATTTCTGCTCCCTTTTCACCAGCATAGAGTGCTGTAAACTCAGTAAGCAGTAGAATAGCTGCAATTTTTATCACATTGTCCCCGTATATAGATCTACAAGAAGATATCCCATTCAGCAAGTACACTGCTAAAAGAAAAACAGCCATGGAAGCAGCTCTGTGGTGTCTCCGGTGCATCTCTGATGTATAGGATTTCCAAGAAAAAATCAGGAACGGGCTGAGCTGCAGTAACATAGGTGGGATGCGAGGAGCAAAGCAGCCTTTCAGAAGAGGCAGATGTTGTCAGACTTGCTCAGGAAGCTCTGCAGGTGAGCACAGGCTTGCCGGTTACGGGTGGTGTGACACTCCCTGTCTTCTGGAATTTTCTCCACCCAGGCTTGCGAGTCAAGGAAGTACTGCATCCTGAGTAAAGGAAGTGAGTCATCAGTGTTTAACAGAGAGAAACAGGAAAGCACAAACCATGTGAGGCTGCCCTCTTCCGTCAAGGCACCTCTGAGATCAGGAGGAGTCACACTAATCATAAAGCTTGTCTGAAACCTCATTCCACCAGGAGGCTAACTGAGCTTTGACTTGAGTTTAGCAAGATAATCATTGTCAAGCTGGGACAAATGAGGATATACTTGTGTTTTGAGAGACACCAGTAAGCTTGGGCTGAGTTTCTATTATATTTTTGTGGAATAGCACCACAAATGTGGTCTTTATTAGTCTCTCTAAGTTTAGCATACACACTGGTGTCAGTAGATATGGTGGGGGGTTGTTTTAGGATTGCAGGAAGTGGTGCTTACAATTTCACAGAGATAGTCTCCATCCTGGAAGCTTTCAAAGGCATTACCTTTCTCCAGTTCTGTCCTGAGGAATTAAATATTTAAGATGCTTTTCTCACTGAATACTTATTAAGGACAGACTACATTCCTCCTCAAATAAATTCCCCTTTTTATATTCAAGTATGACAATGAGAAGTGAGAATAATGAGCTATGTCCACACATGATATAACAGAAACTTTGAGCGCTGCTCTTTGATGCAGTCCCACCCATTTCTTTGGCAAATGCACAAACTGTGTAAGACATTTGCAGCATAAGGAATGATGCAGCATTTCCCATTCTCCCTTTCAGCTGTGAGTTTTTAGCCCATTGGAGAAGGGCCAAATTTTGATTCTTAGAAATGTGGGAACCAGGCTGTACACAGATAGATTTGAGTGGCTCAGCTGTTACCCACAGCTGCCCTTTCGACTTTAGGCTGATACTCTGCATTTTATTAAAGCAGAATCAGAATCCTAGAGAAATCTGGCCCTCCCTTTGCTTTCTGGAAGCATTCCAGCAGTTTGAGTACCAGCTGGATTCATGATCCGTGCTAGCAGCCTCTGTGGCTCAGAACCTATTGCACTTACTTGCTGTTGCAATCGACAGTTTGCCCATCTTTCCCCATGAGAAGGTACCGTTTCCCAGCTACCATGTTTAGCGTGCAAGAGGAGCGCTTTAGGAAATGTCGATGGGCTCCTACTTGGATGCTTTCATCAGCAGCTGTGGTATGAGAAGAGAAAAACCCATAAACTTTCCTGATGAAGAGCAAAACAATAGCCTATGAGATGCAAATCTTTCCAATCTTTAATAATACTGCAAAGTCAAGCTAATATTTCATTTGGGAGTAAACGCTGTGGTAGGGCATATTTTCCTTAACATTTCTTGGCTAAATGTAAGTCACTTTTTCCTTTTATGGTGGTCTTAGCCTCTTTAACAGCTATGGAAGGAGCATCTTTCGCTCTAGATATCTTTCAGGCTTTATGGGGTTCCTTTCAATCTTAGAGACTGAAAGAAAAGACAAAGGAGAAAGAAAACATTATCTTACATTTCAGATTGTTCAGAAACATAGTGATCTTAAAAACTGGCAAACAAAATTCAAATATATTGAGGCTCAACAGTGCAGCAGGCAGTATTAAAAACTCCTTTGTATGATTGACTTGAATGTCACTGATTTACCCATTATACTATTGCTTTTGAACTTGCTTTGTAGGAAATGTACTTTGTAATCTCCACATCAAAGTAACTTAGAAGATTATGGTCTAATTCTGGCTCAGAAGCTTATTCATTTAAAAGCTGCAGTGCCCATTACTGAAATGGCATGAGATCTGGAAAGAGACTTATTTAGCAAGTTAACACAGGATACGAGTATACTGAGTTTTTTGGCTAGAAGACCAGTTCACAAAGTCCACTTGGAAAAAAAAATATGCAGATTACATGTTATTCTCTTATATTCTTTCTAACAATAGTGCAAACTGTTGTGCACAACTGAGGTGAGCAAATCAACATCAAACCAGATTAGACTGCAGGTAAGACACCACAGACTTCCTAACAGCAAACAAAAACTTGTGCAGCCTCTGCTGCCTGAATTGTATTACAATTATGAAAAGTTCAATATTCACAATGAAATCCTAAGAGCAGAATAAAAATCTGATTTAGACTATTTTAACACTAATAAGATTTCAGGGCATTTGAGACAGTGCTAAACTGTGAAACGTAGCACTAAGAACCATATCAGTTTCCTAGCTGAAGCCTGAATTAATTTTACATATGGTAGGTACAGACCAGATAAAAGTTGGTCTTCAGTTCTGCATACAGTTTCACATTTGTGCATTTCCAAAGAAGCATGCAGCACTGTAGATTTTCTCATGAAATCCAAGACTTTCTGCTGTTCCTGAGCTATATCCAATTTTCACTTTGTTGTAAGAATGCAAAGGAGTGTTAAGATGAATCAGAATTATTTGAGAAAATTACAAAATTTTGCCTCAGGTTCATTATGTTTAAATTACCATGGTGCTTCTCACTTCAAATGCTTCACAAATGTCCTGGCAGATTTCATACTCTAGGGATCATCAGCCATTAATGTAACAGTTGTTATATAATTATGCAATTTTCAATCTCCAAATACATATATATATAGATGATAATATAGATGATTTTAATATATAAAAATGCATCTCTCTATATAAAAATGATTTGGGAAGGTACTGCACCTTGCTTTTTCTTCATCATCATGGCTTAGCTCCCCTTTCCAGACTTTACCAACCCCACTGAAACAATCTGATGCTTGTAACCTACTTCATACAGTACAAACAAAGGAGTATTTTAAAGGAGGTGGGAATGAGAGAAGTCACCTCTTCTGTTCAAGTTTAGGTTCAGAAGATACCTATCTCTTTCAAAAACCAAGAAGCAAAATCTTCCCAGGGCTTGCCTATGAGCAAGAACAAATGCAGTGAGGCCCATAGCTCTAAGTTCTTCGGATCCTGTAGGTTTTCTGGAGGCATTAAAGAAACTTTCCATCGTGGTGTTGTAATCTTCCAGAGGCAGTG